CGAGTTTCTGGGGTGATGATGGTGAACTTCAGCATCACCTCCCCCTGGGGAGCAGGAAAGCCCACCTGAGTATGCAGGCGTACCGTCTCGTCCATTTGTGTGGTGACTATCACGGCTGTGGGACCTCGGCGGAGGCGAAGTGCTGAGTCCTGAGGAGAGCAGTGACGGAAGAACCAGGTCATCCGTGTGCTCAGAGGCAAGTCCCGAGGAAAGGCGAGATGACGAAGGCGCGACGGGGCAGGGAGAAAAAGGGAATCCCCTATGTCCATCGTCGGCGAAGGGTCGGTCATTGAGCCACATGTAAGCTCACTTGGGGACCCTGATGACAGGAGGAGTCCACCCTCTACAGCCCCAGAAAGGGTGCAAGGGGGAGCCGTGGCCCCTGCTGGAGACCCTGACTTCTGAGGTTTCTGCTTCTTCTTTGACGTGTCTTCAAGAAGAAAGTCGTCAGCATCACTGTCACTACTGCCGCCATTTCCAACGAACGGGAGCGTTTAGCAGCAGGCATAGGGCACGTTGGCAACACTGCAGTCAGGTGGAGTGGTAATGACGACACTGCTACGTCACACTATCACATTGCGCATGCGCAAACTTGAAAAACTTTGCTCAGAGGGATCGGGTGGTAGGACCAGATGTTTTATCCCCAAAAAATGACAAAGTCCAAAAGTAAAAAAAAAATATATGCCACTGTGCTGATAACTGGGTCTTACTATAGTTGTCTGCACAGGCTGGGATTGGTAGACGCGCTGAATTCGTCAGAAATACGAATTTCAAGGAGCAGTCTCTTACAGCCTTTGCTGACACTACGCACGCATGCGCTTTCCCTCTAAGGATCTTCATATATACAGCATACTGTATGTCATGACTTGGGGTCGCACTGGATAGGCAACATTACCCGACGGGGTCACACTGGAAAGTGCTTGGGAACCTTGGGTATAGACACTACACACAAGACGCATACAAATAAATAATAATGGGGAAATCCTCTCACAAATAATCAGATACAAATGTATATTAAAAATGTTGAGTCTACCCTCAAGTCTACTCCGTGCTTTATTAATAATAAAGCACTATTTATAACTTGAAGGCCAATGAGCAGTAAATAAAATTCTACAGTGAAACTGCTTCAAACAAAAGAATTTAAAAATGTAAGAAAGTTTAAATTTCCAGAGCTACTGGTTGTTTCAGTCAGTTGTCAACTTCTCAAACATGAGGCAGCATGTCAGTGGGAGCTGCCACCACATCACCAGCTCACAACAGTACAGTACACTGAATATGCTACTACCCCTCTGTATGCACACTCGCACACTTAGACTACTGTGTTAAGTTTTTATCTTTGTAAAAAAAAAAAAAAAAAAAAATTTTTATCTGCCCCTTTTCTCGTTGATACAATCTGACAATGGAAAAATAATTCTGATCACTATTTGTGAATCCTTAACAACCAAACCAAAACTGCTGTACAGTAGTCCCTCGCCAACTATGGGGGGTTAGGTTCCTGAAAAATCCCCTGGTTAGCAAATCCGCAGTTAGCAAGATTGAAGGTTATGGAAAATATGGGGTTAGGTTCCATGGCCGAAGATAATACTCGTCAGAATGTGTAAAAAAAAAAAAAAAATATATATAAAAAAGAAAATGATTATCATAAGGTCGGATCATGGGAAAGGAAGGAAGGAGCAGGGGGTGAACCTGCACCAATTGTTCCGGCTAACAGGGATATCACTGTACAGTATATACGTTTTCGAATGATATGAATCCTCCGAGGCTTCAGATCATATATTACATGACTTGAAGTGGATGTCTTAAATAAACACCAATGCCATGCCAGTCATCAATGGGTTTTTACATCGAATGGAACGATGAATTATCAGGGAAACCTCGCAAAATGTGAGAGATGCTCCGTATAATTACCCTTTACAGCGAGAGTAATCGTAACACTGAGGTAGAACAGTGAACTTGGGTGAAACAACTGGTGCCTTGATTTGAAACTTAATTTTGGTGTCAAACCAATGCTATTTACATATCGGTAACATGGCAGATCCCATGTAGACTGATATATTGTATATTGCTGGTTGTTCACTCGAATATCAAGTACTATTTGCTTAGTCACTCTTCATTAATTAGACATATCGTGAACAACATGAGTTGGCATATCACAAACTTGGTATGAATAAAACTCTGTTAGTAGAACAAAATAATAGTGAAATGTCCATTTTGAGGTCTCCATCTCAGCTATGATGCTCAGAAACACTTCCATTTAATGTATGTTTCAGTGTTATTGTACAGGGGTGGATCCAGGAATATCAAAAGGATGGGGTCCAAAAAGTTTTGGGTGGGGAAACATGTCGAGCAAGTGAGCCCACACAGCTGGTGGTTTTAGGGGGCTTATCTGACCAATATCATGGACATTTTGAGGCCATTTTAAAGCCACATGCACTTGATATTAGGAGTTATTCTGAGGTCAATAGTAATCACTTTTTACTATACAAAAATGCCTGTGTACAATACTCCATTGAAGAAAAACTATTGGAATTTTCTGATGAAAAGATGGGGTCCGGACCCCCAGGACCACCCCCCCTGGATCCACCCTTGTTGTAATCATCAGTGGCTTGTTTACATATGCCTTCCTTCTACCAGCACGAGACACACATTAACCTCAACGCCCCGGTTGATGTTCCGGAACATCCATCGAGAGCGCCCCGGTTGACGTTCCAGAACGCGCGCCTTTTCGCGGCATTATTTGAATGCCCAGTGCGGGTTATCAGGTTTCAGTAAGACTATTTGCATGTCACGCCACACGCTCGGTCACAAGGAAGGTTCTTGAATACAAGTACAGGCAGTCCCCGACTTACAAAGGGGTTAGGGACTATAATCCAGGTAGTAAGTCGAATTGGTCTTAAGTCGAAAATGCAAAAATAATACAGTACTACATAGTGAATCTAAAATGGGTGTCTCTTTTTCTTCTCAGCACCACAAAACTCTCACTTTTAAGCTTGCCAGCCATTTTAAAGGGAATTACAAACGAAAATTTTGTCAGTACACAGCGCAATCACTAACGTCGGGACTCGAAAATACGTAACTTGAAAAATTTTTGGTACGACTGGGGCAGTCATATGTCCGGGTGGTCGTAAGTCGAGGAGTACCTGTACCTACTTTAGTTTGTTTCATTTGCATTGTTTGTCCATTTTCTCATGTTGTATCAAAGTAATATTGATATACAGTGGGGTATGCTATAACGAACGGATCCTACTACGAATATTCCTATAACGAACGGTTTTACCTATAAAATTGAGAATGCTATAACGAACGAAACTCCTACAACGAACATTATTTAAAAAAAAAATAATAATTTTTTTTTTTACTAATTTATTGTTTTTTTTATTACAAGTATTAATGATACTCTTTATTTCAGGGGTTTAGATGCATATTTATGCACTTTTTTTAAATTTTTACAATTTTAAATTATATTTTTCAGTGTTAAGTGGTTGTATTTGGGGGCCTGGAACGGATTAATCCTATAACGAACAAGGTTCTAGAACCAATTAGATTCGTTATAGCATACCCCACTGTAAGTAGTGTAGTTGTATTGTAGTGTAGTACTGTATTACTGAAAAAGAATGTTATAATTATGTTAAAAATTTATTTATAAGTGGAATTATTATTCCGATAATTATTTATATGCATTACTTGTTTTCCCAAACACAAAGACAGCCGGACAGCCTGGCGGCAGACTGCGTGTGTGTCGCCGAGCACTTTTTATGAAAAAATAATGCAAATAAAATAAATTCTTAATGAATTATTTATCGGAAATAAGTATTATGATCAGTAAATATATGTATTTCTGGCCATCCCGGACACAAAGACAAGCAAAAAATGGTCGCTAAGTGTGTAGTGGCCACGAGCATTCGCCATCAAAACAACACTGTCCCCTTATCTCCCTCGCCACTGCTGCCCCAGGGAAGTTTCTAGAGGGTCAATATAGTATAGTTTTTCTTACTTCTTTTTTATTGTTTCATCATTTAAAAAGGTTACAAATTATTTTTGGAAATGTTGATTTTCCTCAATATACCCTGCGTGGGGGTATGGCCAGTGTCACCCTAGCCCGGGACATAGGGGTTAACTTAAATAAAAAATTTCGAATTATACTTTACTTGTACTCTAACTTAAGTAACAAATCACAGCGATACTTTCCAAATATCTATGTGAAATCCATTTAGTTTAATAATTCCTTATATCTTTTAAATGAGGCATACTGTACCTGAGTAAGTTGCTCTTGCATGCCACCAGGACTGGAAAAAATCTTCCTTGTATTACCAGTTATTAGATTATATTTCAAAACCCTTAAGACAGTTTTAAAAAATACAAACATCCTCTGGGTTAAAGATGGCTTCTGTTCCTGAAAATCTTTCCGTAATGTAAAGGCAAGTTTTTTCCCGTAACCTGAAATTATGGTCATAATGTCAAAATTCCTTAAGGGCGAAATTCTATAACGTGGGGATGCCTGTAAATAGCTGGTAGCTGTGAGCAGACATATATATAAGTTCAATGTCACTTGCTGTATCTTTTGTTCATTATCAATACTGAAATGGATTTTTTTTGCTCCATCCAATATATATTAAAATTTATCATTAGTTTTAAGACATTCAGCTAAACCATAGTACAGTATCTATGGAATACAAATAAAATAACATAGTGTAGCTACTTTATGTACAGGGTACCAGAAGCTATTTGAAATAATATACAGTAAAGTATCACAGTATGAAGTAGAACAATCATATTTCAGATTGACCCCGTACAGTATGCTTATGGTAAAACTTCCTTACTATATTTCAATGACCCGAAAGATAATGCTACCTACTTTACCTGTACAAATTAAAGTAACAGAAATATTTCCCAAAGTCTCATGGTTTCTTTCTTCATAAAGATAATAATTTTGCCATTAAAAGAAGTTTGTTCCTCTAACTATATACTTTACATAATACACTGTATTCTGCTTTACCTACCATGAGAGGGCATCTGCACAGCAGTCATCAACATGAAATAGAAAAGCATTATCTCAATTAAGTTACTACTTAAGCAAAATATCAATACATTAATACTGTATATAACAAATAAAAGTGTCCATTAATCAGTCCATAAGATTAACACTAAGTCAACAGGAAAAATTCAGTGAAAAATGTTACAGGTGCACATGTACAGGTACTCAAGTATGTATCTCATGTTCAAACTGGTTAAATCTGGATAAAACTGTTTTACCAAGTTACAGATATTCATGTACTTATCTCCTGTTCAAACTGGTTAAATCTGGATAAAACTGTTTTACCAAGTTACAAAGACCCTGAAGCTATTTGACAACATCAGGCAAAGAAATGCCCCAAACTGACTCTTCTGTCCACCATCAACATGGGTGAAAATTCTTCTCCTGATCTAAACACTTATCATATCAGAGGACTGGACTGGTCAAACAAATATGATATCTATAGTGCATGAACACAAGAGTGCAAATTTTATTTAACCACAATCTATTTACTTAACACATGGTCTACAAACATGACTTACATGTAAGGAATCTTTATCAGTGTTTTCATAATGTGAGTGAGCCCTAAAAATGAAATCATCACCAATAACATATGGTAAACTATTCAAACAGTAGCAGACAAGTTATGTGAGGATTGGGGAATGACCCAGATACTGAGTACAAAGTTGAACATAATAGTATTCATTATGGCAACAACCATACTTCCATCTGTCTGCAGCCTTCAAAGTGTTCAATACACACTGGTTTATTGCAATAAAGGATTTCAGTACAGTACTGTACAGTAGTCACAACTGGCAATAAAAAAATAAAAAAAACGTTTTAAACACCGAGTTGTTGGTTGCTACGAACATTCAATTTTCACTTAAAAATAACTGTAAAAAATATTTTGAACAAAAAATATTTTTAGTATTCATTAAATTAAAAGTATGTATAAAATCATCAAGTTATTAAAAACATGTTTATAAAGTAAGAGCATAGTAATTTGCTTAGCTTTATATAACATATAGCAACAAAGAACTAAAGCTTGGAATCCCATGTTAGAGATGGAGTGACCAATGACATCCCAGTACGTTGAACATCCCATAACAGAGACCACCAGAGCTGAGGTGGAATGAGTGTTTTGTGGTTGGGGTTTTGTCAGTTGGGGTTTTGTCTGTAGACCCATCAGTCTGTGTGTTTCATACAAGTATCACAAACCACGCAATTATCACAAACAAGGGCTTATAGCAAGCAAGCTGACAAGTAGGTGACACCTGCTTAACTGTGGTTAGGGAGGGTAGGTCAGGTTACAATAGTTAATTTTCAGCTCTTATTCATTGTTTACCAAACACTGGCGACGATGACTTCTGTGCCTTACTCAGTATAAGTTTAGTTTCAGACACCCAGGGAATCGTAGGAATATAACTTTTGGAATCAATAGTTTAGACAATTCTAAGACACTTTTCTTCTATGACATTTCCTTCGCAAAAGATTTGCATATGCCGTGGAGTCCAGGGGGGCAGGGCCTCTTGGTTAGAAGGATAGGTTAGGTCATTTGCGAGAGAAACGTCATAGAAGAAAAGTGTCTTAGAATTGTCAGTATTATTTTACTTTCGGACATAGAGCCCCCAAAAGTTATAAACTACTGAAACAATTAGATCTCGCTCTTCTGAGCATTTTGAACCCCATATATACTTGGCAGAAATGAATAATAGCAACAATTGAATTTAATTGATTTTAAGTAGTTTTCAGTCTTTGTCTCTGAGGAGGTGCTACCTGCGCAGCACGCATGCGCAATGTTGACTGACGTCATCCAGTCGTGACCAATAAGGTATCGATATCACCACATGAATTTTTTTCGACCAATCACATTTGATTTTGTCAAAGGAAGCAGCCTGGGTAATTTACTTGACCAGTCTCACAATGGCCGTGGTGGAGGTTGGTTGTTATTTGTGCTTCTACGATTATTTGCTTAGTTTCACGAAAGACAATTATTCTATCCAATTCTTACGTAACACTGGTCCTTCCACTTCTAACCAAGGTATTGTACATTCGGACATCGCGCTCCAAAGTTTTTAACTACTGAACCATTTAGGTTAGTTTAAGCTAAGCCTACCGGGGCTCTGGAGCCCCCGGTTAGGGGTCAGGTTAGGCCTACCGGGGTTCCGGGGGCAGCGCCCCCAGCTAGGAGTTAGGTTAGGTTTTGTTAGGTCAGCTTCTTTTCCTCGGTGTTCACAAGAGAGGATGCGATTAACCTTCCTGCGTTTGAAGACGGTTCGAAACAGCACTGACCCACATTGGGTTCACAGAAGAGGGTATTAGAAATAAACTGTCAAAGCTAAAGGTCCATAAGAGTCCCGACCCTGACATGGTGCACCCCAGAGTGCTAAGAGAGTTGTGCAAAGAGCTTGCTGAGCCCCTGAAGATCCTATTTTGTAAATGCCTGGATGAACAAAAAGGTCACCCAGTGATTGGAAAGTGGCTTATGCGAGTCCTATCTTCAAGAAGGGTGATCGTCACTCCACGAACAACTATAGACCGGTGAGCCTGACCAGCATAATATGTAAAGTACTTGAGAGTATTATCAGAGATGCCACGATGGAACATCTACTACGAAACAACCTTGTAAAGGATTGCCAACACGGTTTTATGCCGGGGCGCTCTTGCTTACCACAATTGCTCAAGGTATTGGATATTTGGACCCATATTTTGGAACAGGGTGGTAATATCGACAATATATACCTAGATTTTGCCAAGGCTTATAACAGTGTACCTCATGAAAGGATGAAAATCAAACTGGATGGGTATGGAATTCGGGGAAATGTCCTAGAGTGGATAGAAGACTTTCTACATAATTGCAAGCAGTGTGTGGTGATTAATGGCACGAAATCATCATCTGTACCTGTCACAAGCGGGGTACCACAGGGCAGCGTATTGGGCCCGCTGTTGTGTGTTTGTTTCATAAATGAAATGCCTGACGTTGCACACTCCTCCATACAAATGTTTGCCGATGATGCCAAGTTATTTCGGGAAATCAAGAACCAAGAGGCCTGTGAAGAGCTGCAGAAGGATCTCTGTGAGCTCCAAGAATGGTCAAAGAAATGGCTGCTTAGATTCAATGTCACGAAGTGTAAGAGGATGCACTTGGGGCGTACCAATGGTAAGGAGGCGCATCATATGTCCCAACGGGATGAAGAAACTACTGTACACTATTTGAGACTGAATGTGAGAAGGACCAAAGTGTGTATGTTGACAATGAGCTGAAGTTCTCGGGCCATTGCAAGAAAAAAGTAACTCGGGCAAATAAATTATTGGGTCTTATAAAAAGGTTGTTCAGATATCTAGATGGTCCATCCCTTGTAACAATCTTAAAGAGTGAAGTGCTTCCCCATCTGGAATACTGTAAACCCGTCTGGTCCCCACAATACGCTTGGGACTGTCAGTTGTTTGAAAATGTTCAAAGGAGGGCCACCAGACTGGTGCCTGCACTTCGGCACCTCAACTACCCTGAGAGATTGGAGCACCTGAACTTGCCTAGCTTATTCTACAGACGGGCAAGGGGCGACCTAATTGAGGTGTATAAGCACCTCAAGGGGCACTACTCAGTCGAGTGTCCTTACTTGGAGCTGGCGGACGCTTGCCCCATAAGGGGTCACAGCTCAAGATTGAAGAAGCCGCAGATCCAGAAAACTGTGAGGGCAAACTTTTTTGGAGTGAGAGCTGTGAACTCTTGGAACAATCTACCAGAAAATATTGTGATGGCACCGAGTGTGAGCTCTTTCAAGACAAGACTTGACCAACATTGTAGCAGGTTTAGGTACATTCAGGAGCCAGTGCATGTTCAGTACTTGCCAACAGTGCGTAACAGAGACGTGGCCAATCGCCCAAGCGGCTAACAAGCCGATCGATTGGTGAAGAGGATAAAAGAAAAAGTAAAGTAAAAGACGACTCGTTTTCTCCCCCACCCAAAAAAACCCAATTTCCCAGGCTCTTTCCCATTATTGTGGGGGGGGGGGGTTTCCGCCAAAAATGAAGGTCTGATTCGTTTGAAACACACCAAAATACACTGGAAACATATTTGTCAACCCCTAGGGACTCATGTCCTAAAGTAAAAATTTACCTAATTGTCTAAACTATCGATTCCAATAGTTATATTCCTACGATACCCTGGGTAACAAAAGCTAAACATTTTCACTTGTTGCCACTAAACAAAATCGAAGTTGAAAATGATTTTCCAATGGTTTTTATGTGTTATGAATGAATTTGACCTTCACTTCTGGCACAAATCAATCGTTTCTGAGATAAGCCCCTTCCCATCTCAGAATCTAGAGATTGGCTGTAAAAATCAAGGTTAAAAAATTTTCAATACGCATCATAAACTATCAGAAAAAGTTTTGAATCTAACCTAACCAATCAAACTTTACCTAACCTAACCAGGGTGGCTCCATAGTCATTTGATGTTCTAGGTGTGCACGGCCACATTGGAACACATATAATAAGATGTTAAATATCTCGCTTAAACTTAATTTGCGCCAGAAATACCATTGAAGAAGTGGTAAATTGTCACTTGTTGCCACAATACAAAATCAAAGTTAAAGCTACTTTTCCAGTGTTTTTTTTTAAGTGTTATGAATGAATTTGACTTTCATTTCTGGCACAAATCAATAGTTTCTGAGATACGCCCCCCCCCCCTTCCCATCTCAGAATCTATAAATTTGCTATAAAAATCAAGGTAAAAAATTTTCAAAACACACCGAAAACCACCGGAAAAACAGTTTTAAATCTAACCTAACGTTTTCTTCTTTTTTTTTACAGGCATTAGCCCACCTGGGCATAGGTCATTTTTTATGACCTACATGAAGGCCTGGGGGGCAAAAATATTATAAAATGATGATGATGATATTAAAAATAATTAAAGGAAATAACAATTAAAATAAAAGAAAATAATAACAGTACAGTCGAGTCTGGATTTACGCGGTTTTGGTTTACGCGTTTTGCCATTTATGCGGTGCCTTGCCAGAATTGAATTGCTTGATTTACGCGGTAAATTTGGTCATTTACGCGGAGAGCAGCTGGCGGTCCTGCCGCGCAACGCCATTTTTGGACTCAAACCTCCCACCATCTCCTGCCATGCTTGGATAAGCGGCGCGAGTAGGTTGCGCAGTGTATGTCTCTGTTGCGTTATCTGTGACGTCATATGACATATCGGACTGTGATTGGGCCATGCATCCTTACCTCCCTCCGCCGCTAGCTGTGATTGGTTTAATGTAATATGACGTGCCCTGCCACGGGAGGGAAGAAGGCGCTTGACCTAGCCGTGTCAGTTACTCTCCTCCCAGTCACTCCGTGTAAACTGTGTTCTATTGTTCCGATAATCTCGTAAGAATGGCCTCCACTGGACCCCCACCACCACAGAAAAACCTTGCATTACCTGGACCCAGCCGCCCTAAGCCAAAGAAGATACGACGTGCCCTAAGTTACGAAGTGGAGTACAGTACAAGTTTATACAAGATTTAGAAAAAGGAACGAGACAGGTTGATTTGGCGAGCCAGCATGGCGTGAACGAATCTACGATCAGGACGATCAAGAAGGATGCAGCCAAGATAAAAGAACACATGAACATCACAAAGTCTGCAGGTGCTTCAATGGTGAAGTACTGCCAGAACAAAGTGCTGCTCAAGACGGAGAATTTACTTGTGAGCTACTTGATTCGTCAGGCAAGACGGAACATGGCGGTGGACACGCGGTCGGTTCAAGAGTACGCACGTGAACTGTACGTAGCAGTGGCACGTAAGATGGGAATTGCAGAGCCCAAACCCTTCAATGCTTCCTCTGGGTGGCTGCAAGGGTTAAAGAAGAGGAACAAGCTCATTAACATTGGTGGTGAAGGAGCTAGTGCTGACCGTGTTGCAGCTAGTGATTTTCCTCCATTCTTACGTGACGTTATGGAGGAAGGACTGTACACCGACGACCAAGTGTTCAACATGGATGAATCCGGTCTGTTTTGGAAAAAGCTACCTACCAAGACCTTCGGTGTCAAGTCTGCCAGCAAGTGTCGGGGCTGGAAGTTGCAGAAGGAGTGCATCACCGTTTTGTTTACCACCAATGCCTCAGGTACCTGTAAACTTAAGTTATCAGTGATCCACACAGCCCACAAGCCGCACGCCTACAAGAACATGGATATGACCAAGCTAAATGTCCACTGGCTAACCGCACATAAGGCGTGGATGTTCTCTGGTCTGTCCCTCTCCTGGTTTGACGACTGTTTCGTTCCCGACGTCAAGAAATTCTGCGAGCAACAGAATGTTCCATTCAACATTTTGTTGCTCCTTGATAACGCACCAGGACACTCGCCCCTACTGTTGGATCGTCACCCCAACGTAGAAGTGGTCTTCCTTCCTCCCAACACTACGTCGTTAATCCAGTCCATGGACCAGGAGATGATATGCAATGTTAAGGCTGCATTCTCTACAAAGAAGTTTAAGCTCCTGAACGACTGTACCAACACCAAGGATGAGTTGCGCAACCTGGGTGACACCGATAGCGAGAGCGAAAAGGACGAGGAACAAGAGTTGGCGGATCAAGAAGTTCACGTCAAACAGTTTTGGAAGAAATTTAACGTCAGGAAAGCTGTTGATTTCTTGGTGGAGGCATGGGATCAGCTGTCTGTAGCAACAATTCGTCACGCATGGCGGCATGTGTTGCAAGGTATCCCAGGTGGGAGACAGAGTTAACCTGTGACTGGTGAGGTTCAGTCTGTTGCAGTGGCAGTGGACCTTGCAAGAGAAGCTGCGCAGAGTGTTACAGCAGCAGGCTTCTCCGAGACCACCAACGACGACATTATGAAGGTGATAAGGGATTCTGAGGTGACTGCCGACGAGATGTTAGAAGACGATGACGTCAGTGAAGATGCAGGTGGTGAGTCATCGCGAGAAGGACACAAGTTATCGCATGGTAATGTTAAGGATGCCATCGAGTTTGCAGAGAAACTCAAGTTCATCCTTTCCAATGACCCTGACGATAACCGCTATGAAGTCTTCAATAACCAGCTGTTGCAGACTATGGAGCCGTACATCACGGTGTATCACGACAACATCAACACTGGCCATCAGCGTAACATCACAGACTTCTTCGCCCACAACCCACCACAGCCAGCCCAAGCCAGTGACAGTGATGGTGACTTTGAGGGATTTGTCAGGGAGGCCCTGACAACTATGGTGGATAGTTCCTCTGCCTCGGAACCAGCCGCCATTCCCATATGCCGACCTATCTCTTCTACTAACGTACGTGTTAAACCTAACCTAACCTTAAGTAAGTGTTAAACCTTGATTTTTTTCTAACCTAACCTTACGTAAGTGTTAAACCTTGATTTTTTCTAACATAAAGTAAGCGTTAAACCTTGATTTTTCTTTTACCTGGTACAGTATATTATTCTCTTATTGATATTTCTCTTCTATATTATGTGTGTGTGCATACCATCATAACGTTAAGATACTATTTTTACTACAACGAACGTACTACTACTACAAATAATATAAATAGCCATAAATAAATACAAAAATGAAAACAAATATCAAGCACGAGAAATGACATACAGCTCCTCCTCGACTTACGACGGGGTTAGGGACCCAAATCCAGGTCGTGAGTCGAAATGGTCGTATGTCAAAAATGCTTAAATAATACATAGAAAATCTAAAATGGGTGTCTCTTTTTCTTCTCAGCACCACAAAACTCTCACTTTTAAGCTTGCCAGCCATTTTAAAGTGAATTACAAACAAAAATTTTGTCTGTATTGACATTGTGACTTGAAAATACATAATTTGACAAAATTTTGGTACGACTGAGGCAGGTCGTAAGTGCAGGTGGTCATAAATTGAGTAGGTCATACATCGGGGAGCTGTACTGTATGTATGTTGTGTTGTCAAAGTAAGAAAAACAATTGAAACCCTCCAATTGTGTGTAAATGAGGCAGACAACACATTATGCTTCCAATATCGGATCACCTGAAGAATCGTCACCCCAGAATGTCCACCTGAGGAATCGTCACCCCTGGATATTCCACCTAATGAGTTGTCACCCCAGGCCAGTGAGTATAATTTGTATAATTAGGATAACAAATATATTTCTTTGTGTTATGCATCTTACCTAACCTCACCTGAAGATTAACAAACATGGAGGGCACTGACCCCACCTGAAGAATTTTCACCCCAGGTGTTGCCACCTGAAGATTCATCACCCCAGGATATCCCACCTGAAGAATTGTCACCCTGCCAAACTCTGGGGTGACAATTCTTCAGGTGATCCCCAATATCTTCCCAGGCGGTAGTACCTCCAGGTTTGGTAGCTGCCTACTACCTACACCAAACCTAACCTAACCGGGGGAGCTCCACAGTCGCTCGATATTCTGGGTGTGTACCGACGCATATGAACATGCTGTACATAATGAAATATTAAATATCTAATTTGCGCCAGAAATGCCGTTGAAGAAAAGTGTCACAGAATTGTCAAAATTACCATTACGATAAAATCCCAGAGATTCATTTAGTGGCAACAAGTGAAATAATACCTTACCCTGTTGGGTAAAAGTTGTCCTGCACAAAAAAATTTAAACTTCTGATAATATACTGTACGTGCACAGTACTTGAGAAGAGTATCCCCAGCTGTTCTCTTCAAACTAAAAACTATTAATTATCACCTTGATACAGCTGCATGTCACTTTGAACTGCACTCATATTAGCTTCATCCGAGTCAGGGCACTTCATATTAAATGAATTGCGTTGCTTAAGCTTCCTGACCTCAATGTCATGCACCCAGTAGCCAACACTGTCTGACTCAGCCTGCGATGCCTGACTGACGACATGGCTCTGTAACCCTTGTGGCGCCTACTGTACAGCGCCTCATGGTGCCCACATTATCGCACCGCACATATAACAATTATTGTGCTTGTACAAATATTCCACCTTTAAAATAAACCTAAAGAAAACAAGATTTTAAATGAAACAGTTTTTTATCACTCACCTAATATTTTAAAAGTTTAAAGAAAATGTACGGTAAATAAGCTTTATTAGCCGATTGGGCAGTTAGTCAGTGAGTTATCTTATACCCACTAGACACCCTTGCCTGGCGAGTGTGGCGTACTGCAGTGTTTGTCAAACTTTTTTTTACTGCGACCCACAGCCAGAACAACAATTTGAATTGCGACCCATTAAACCTAAGTGTAATGATATGAAATGAGTAAATCAAAGACAAACACTGTTCACAATTTTCCTTTATTTAGCATCGACAAAATTCATGTAAATTTTTCATGATCCATTTATATTTGAATTATATGTATCCAATTGTATGAAAATAAAAATATTATTTTAAGAAAATCAAACATGAAGAAGACACCAACACAAGTAAAGTAAATAACAGTTAAGATCTGTGTGCTTGATTTAATGTGATCTATGTGCTTGTTTGTTCATAAGCAGATGTTTCCAATTAGGGACACAGGAAGACAGTGCTACACGCACATCAGGGGCAGTGTTGAGCCTGTTTCTGTCTTTAGTCTTTAATTGAGTTAAAGTGGAAAATCCCACTTCACACAAGTAAGTAGTACTGAAAGGTAATAGTGCTAGAACAGCCTTTTTACTGAGTAGTGGAAATTCATCTTTGTTTTTAACCCAAAATGAGCTTAAATTTTCGCGACCCAATTTATTTATTTCGCGACCCACTGAAGGGTCGGGACCCATAGTTTGAAAACCCCTGGCGTACTGTATCTGCATGTGGCCAGTTGTCAAGATCTCTATGTTTGTCTATTTCTCTTTATATGGGCTCACATACGTACCGTACGTACATGTAAGATATCTCGCTCAGGATGGAGGTAGGAATAGAAACTCACAATGCGTTTTATATATATATATATATATATATATATATATATATATATATATATATATATATATATATATATATATATATATATATATATATATATATATATATATATATATATATATATATATATATATATATATATATATATATATATATATATATATATATATATATATATAGTAAATAAACAAACTTAACTAAATAAAATAACTATATATTATGTACTGTATATACAGTAAACCCTCGATAACTCAGCATTTGATAACTCGGAATTTCATATAACTCAGCATGGATATTGTCTCGGAATGTATTAGTATAACTTGGAAAATGCCGAAATATATAAAACTATCCAGAGAAATCTCGACATATCTGGCCACCTGCATCACCTACCATGCTTCTGTGTCACCTACTATGGTGCTTCATTCTTTGCCTGTAGTGCTAGTAAGTGTTAATTTTTTACATTTAGTAATTACATGTACACATACAGTATATATGGATCGATAATTTTTTATTGATGTATTTTTGTAGGAGGGAGGTAAGTGCCTCGATATGTCGGAATTTGGGATAACTCGGCAAGGCCACAGCCCCATCTGTGCCAAGTTATCGAGGGTTTACTGTAACAATATAAAGAGCTAAATACATACAGTAAATAGCATAGCAACTAAATATCTCGCCGGATAACTAAATAATTGTCACGAAATGAATAAATACACTGTATGTACAGTATTCAGCAAATATTTGGACTCATGAGACATACAGGGCAGTCAGTGCTAGTAATCCAAGGTTTTTAAAAGTCAAATGCATAATGAGATGTAACATACATTTCATAATCTAAAAGACTTAACAAAAAGAGACATTAACTTCAATTTAAGAAATATGGTATATACAGTGACCCCTCGTTTAACGAACGCCTCAGTTAACGAAATTTCGGTTAACAAACTGCCTTCCATAAGGATCTTCAATTCGGTTAACGAATTTCTTACGAACCGACCTCAACATGTTTTTGCTTGCACTGACCGGGCAACCAGCTTTAGTATCAGTCCGCCAATACATTAATCGGTTCTAGGGCTTAAATTCCTTACTATTTTAGTAAATATCAAGAAGTTTATACTATTCAATACAGTAATTTTAAAAGTTTAATATTAACTTTTTTAGTCATTTTAACAATTATTGAACATAATTGAAGGTAAAGAAACTAGTTTCTGGCGTGCCATCCAGCCTGTTAACACACCAGACAGGCGTTAGTCTCTCTCTGTTTTCAGTGGAGGTAACATCTTGCTTGAGACTCTTCAACTAAACGCTTTTTTGTGTTTCCAAGCAAATTATTGGTCATTTTGAAATATATTTTACAGTGACAATATATAATGCAGTGCAGTGTTGATTTAAAGAAAATAATCATGAAATACACCAAGAGAACTAAAATTTTATGGATGAAATGGTGCCATGGGGTGACTTCTCTTCCACCCCAATGCCTTTTCTTCTTCCTTCTCCTCCACCCCCATTCTAATTCCATCATCATCATCATCATCATCCAGGAGCCTTCTACATACACACCTCAAAGTAAGTGAACTTTTCTACCATTTTTGTTGAATTTAGGAAATTTTCGGTGAGCTGGAACCAATTACCCAAAAACCCATTGAAACAATGGTTTCGGTTAACGAACTTTTCGGTTAACAAACGACCTTCTGGAACGGAATTAGTTCGTTAACCGAGGGGTCACTGTACTGTATAAAGTCAGGACTGTTCTATGGGTCAGAGGAGTTTCACTTTCAGCAGACACCAAAAAGGTCAGAGGCCTTTGAAATGTGTAGTAATAGAAGGTTAAAAATAAATTAATGTACACCCACTAACAAAAATATTCTGTACCCTTGGCTCTGAAACCCTCCACAACGATCACTGCGGCAGAAGCCGTGATGAGTGTTATCAGATTTCTTGGTCCGGTGTATCATATTGTAATATTATATAACCCCGTAAAGATGCCGAATAATCTTTTAGTGAGTGTACACTGACAAGAAAACAAAAGGAGGAAAATGAGATACTTTAGTCATATAATTAGGGATAAGGGGATAATAGCAGAAATATTAATGGGAAAAGTTGAGGATTGGAGGGTCAGAGGAAAGCAGATGGATGAATGAAATTAAAAACTTGATACCCTAATTTAGTGGAGACCTGTAAAATTATAGTACCACAGCACAGAAGTTATAACTTTCATTAAACAAACCTGGTGAAAATACAGTACTGTACATTACTGTACTGTATACTGTATATATATAAAAACATGACACCAATTATCAAATAACAAACTGAAAGAAGTGGTAAATAAAAACCATACTGAGCATATCCCTTCTTTTCTATTTTATTATAAACTTTGTATGATGTAATTTTTTGACTGTTGGGCCTCCAACTTTTTCATATTTACATATAAAAAACATTGCACCAAAAAATATTGCCATATATATGTAACATTCTATCAAACAGATCCAATACAATCAGTAATAAAAGCTGCACATGAATGGAATTATTTGTACAGTATACCGGGTATATAAAAATGCTTCTTGCATTTTTCCTTTTACATGACTCCCAACACTTCATATTCCCAAAAGATTTCAGTTAAGGAAAAAAAGTTGAATGCTTTCTACAATACTTGCCATTGAATCCTGACACATTACCTCTCTCCACTTTCATATATCTTAATAATTGTATTTATATCTAATAGCCATACTGTGTATATCAATACTGTACCGTTATATATCTCATTAGTGTGTCTGTGTACTGTATAACATTGCCTTCCATTATTCCTCATGTATCTCATACCTTTTATCATATCTCAGTAAGTTATATGCTTTGGGTAATCACATACATAAAAGAATTACAACTTAGTCTGCATTTCATGTAAAAAAAATAAGTTAAAGATAAATTCAATAAAACATGAGGGACTAATCCTGAAATCCCATTACATTGCCAAGCCTGGACTTGCCAAATCATGTGCATTTAGACAAACCAACAAGTTGAAAATGCATTGTTCACATGGATGCTAAAAGTGACACACTGATGTGAAAATTAACTTTTATCTTCCAGTCATATCTTCATCTCTTGAAGGACCTTGATGGATATAAAAGTTATGATTGATGCCTGAAAGCCGAGTCTTTGCTGCAACTTTAACAAGTGCACTCCACGATCATCTTTGGTCCACAAAAAATTTTCTTCCCAGAAACAGAGACTAAACATTCAACAAGATAAGAAAGTGAGCAGTCTAGAAATCACAGGTCCATTTACCATTCCACTAAGTTTGTCGCAGCACCACTTTTGTCCTATGTTCAGAGAGCAATCTTGGAAAAAGGTCCCAAGTTCATGGTAAGTACTTCCAACGTTTAACAAAAGAAGAATCCTCATTTCATCTCTCTATCTGAGACTAAGGTGTCAAGTGGCCTCCACTCTCCACACATTATTCCCCTAGATTTCTCAAAAAATTCTGTATCATAAGCCTATCTCACTTTCTTGAAAAAACAGAAAGCAGTCTAACCTCCCCTTCCTGAGACAAAGCAGTACTAGAGGAAAGGGACTGACTCCCAACCACATCATAGCCACCAGTATGGTCAGAAGACTAGGATAAATCATACATCAGTTCTGGGTCCCAAACCAGTTCTGAAACATGTGCCAGAGCTGTACAAATCATCACTTCAGAATTAAATGAGTAGCTTGTATGCCCATATTCTCCAAAGGAAGGCATAAAATACTCTGAATCAGTTGGGTAATAAGATCTCATAATCATGCCCACCCTCCATCCCAAAACTGAAAGAGTAACTGATAAAACCACAATCTCCTTTACCCCTTTTAATATTTTATTTGGCTAATGCCAGACTATTTTATTCAGCACAAACATACCCCCTGTACACAAGGGGTTAAATAACTTCATATTCAAAATATACTTGTGACCCTCTAAGGAACATATTAATCCTCTTTAACTCCCAGGCTTCAGTTCACGTCATGTGATGTACAG